CCTCACATACTGACAGAAATGCTGAATTTCCTCTGCTTAGAACCACTTTATAATAGCACAAATCAAAAATACTCTTAGGTGGGTATGGTGTTGGCCATCTGTAATTCTAGCACTTTGGGAGGCTGAGGCATAAGGGTTGAAAATTTGACAGTTTGAGCTCATCCTGGGCAATCTACTGACTAAATGAGACCCTGACAAAAACAAACAAACCAAAACAAAACAAACTTATTTATTTATTTATTTATTTTTGAGACAGGGTCTTGCTATGCAGTTCAGGTTGGTCTTGAGCTCACTTTGTAGCCCAAGCTGGTCTCAAACTTGCAAGGATGCTCCTGCCTCAGCCTTCCAGAGTACTGGGATTACAGCCGTGAACCACCATACCTGGCTCAAAACAAACTTCTTTTTTTTTTTTTAAAAAAGTGCTAAACCAAACATGGTGGCGCACGCCTGTGATCTCAGCACTCAGGAGCCTGAGACAAGAGGATCATTGTGATTCCAGGCCAGCCTGGGCTACATAGGGAGACCTTCTCACAAACAGACTAACCAAAAAGTAAAGTGCGCTCAGCAGCTCACTCCTGGGAACAGATTAAAACAATTAAGTGAATACCATCTTATCTTACAAATTCTTGGTATCTCTATGCAGTAACACGTTTTTTGAAAAAAAAAAAAAAAATGACAGTGTCATGGACACTGCTTTGTAACCTGTTGCTTCACTTGACGAAGTAGTGAGCATCTCTACATCTCACTGAATTCATGTCAAGGTCTCGCTCTCTTGATGATATAATTAGTAATTTCCCCCCTCCCAGTTCCTCCCTATGGAATTCCCCCATTTCTTTTTTTTTTTTTTTTTTTTTTGGTCTTTTTGAGATAGGGTCTTCCTATGCTGGCCTTGAACTCACTTTTGTAGCCTAAGCGGCCTTGAACTCACAGCAATCCTCCTGCCTCAGCCTCCTGAGTGCTGGGATTACAGGCGTGCACCACCACACCCAGCCTCCCCTTCTCTTGTCTTATAATAATCTCCCTTCTACTTCCGCATCACCTTTTTCAGATTCCACAGATGGGAGAGACATCGCATTTTTAAAAGCTTCCCGGTGATGTCACCACTGGACTCACCTGCAGTAGCAGGAAGCTGGCAGGTCCAGTCTTGATCACTTCCCATAGAGCTTCACCAACAACACCCAGGTGTGGAGAGAGGAATTCTTAGGTTGTCATTCATGTCCAAAACACACAATGAAAAACTAAAGGACACCTCTGTGCTTGTATGGCTGCTTCTTTTCTGTCTACATGCCTTGCTCATGAAAGTCTCTCTCTCTTTGAGTCATTTAAAAGTGCTTTGTAGTTGGGTGTGGTCATGCGCACCTGTAATCCAGGCACTAGAGAGGCCAAGGCACTGGGATCACCATGAGCTCAAGGCCAGCCGGAGCTGCACTGGTGAGTCAAGGCCAGCCTGGACTACATTGTGGACCCTGTCTCAAAAAAAAAAAAAAAAAAAAGAAAAAAGCTTGGAGCTAGACATGGTGGTGCACGCCTATAATCCCAACACTTGGGAAACTGAGGCAGGAGGACTGTTGTAAGTTCAAGGCCAGCCTGGGCTCCATAGTAAACTCAAGGCCTGCCTGAACTACATGGTGAGACCCTGTCTCAAAAAATAAAAGAAAGATTCTTCTTCAACATTTCAAACTCACAAAGATTTTCTAGTTAGCTTTTGCTTGCTTGCTTGCTTGCTTGCTTTCTAGTTAGCTTACTATGTGTGCAGCTCTGGGTACTGAACTCAGGGTCTCAGGCAAGCTAGAGAAGCACTGTACAACTGATCTATATCCTAAGTCTTGTAATATATGTTTGTTTTCCAAGACTGGGAATTGAACACAGGGTTTGTACTGAGCACATCCACAGCCTTAAAAAAAACAAAACCAGGCTCTCACTAAGTAACAGGCTGGCCTTACCCTTGTGACCCTCCCTCCTCAGCCTCCCAGAGTGACAGAATTACAGGCCCCTGACTTCTACTCAGCTTTTTGTTCTTATTTCTCCTTTAACTTCATTAGGCCTGAGAACACATTCTCTGAGGTCACAGCCCGCTGAAACTTGCAGAGATTTGTTCTATGGTTCAAAACATGGTCAGTTCTTGCAAATGTTCCCCAAGTGCTTGAAATAACATACTCCACAGTCCTCGGGAGGCAGTGTTTTGTCTGGTAGGCCACATGCATTCACCAAGCCGTCAGGGTTTTAAATGCCATCGACTGCTGGGAAGAACTTTGTTAACATCTCCAGTCCCCCCAGCAGGGAAGCCTCTCCTGTTCCGTCAGTCCGCAGTCCTCACCTTCTACCACATCAGGGACGCATGGTGAGTGAACTCTGGCCTGGTCTTCGTGGCCTCAGCCCTTGCCTTGGAGGGGCTGACAGCTGTGCGCATCCTTGACCCACACACCCCACCCTGCCTGGCTCCCCTTCCTCTGCGCACATGCATCATTCACACACACACACACACACACACACACACACACACCACTGTACAACCCTACTTAACACTTACCTTGCCAGGCATGGTGATGCACGCTTGTAATCCTAGCACTCGGGAGGCTGAGGCAGGAGGATCCTTGCAAGTTTGAGACCAGCCTGGGTTACAGAGTGAGCTCAAAGCCAGCGTGAACTGCATAGTGAGATCCTGTTTCAAAAAGACAAAAAAAAGAAAGAAAAAACACTTACTTTGACCACAAGTTTTAGATTCTGCATGAGCAAAGATTATTTTATTTTCCTTTTATAATAGCTTTATTGAAATACAATTTTTTGTCTTTTATTTTATTTTATTTTATCTTTTTGAGATAGGGTCTCACTGTGCAGTTCAGGCTGGCCTTGAGCTCACTTTGTAGCCCAGGTTGGCCTTAAACTCACAAGGATCCTCCTGCCTCAGCCTCCCAAGTGCTGGGATTACAGGCGTGCACCACCACGCCCGGCTTCTGAAATGTAATTATTGACATACCATAAAAGCCACTCTTTTACATTATACAATTTTAAAAAAAAGCCTAGATGTTTATTAAATGATACAGTTCAGTAAAAGACTATCTTATCTATCTTGGCACCCTTTAGAGTAGTCCTTCTGTTTTGGGTCATGTTGGATTCACCTGAAAAGCTTTAAACAGTTTCTGTTTGGTCCGCACCCTCAGAGGTCCGGATTTCACTGGCCTGGGGTGCGGTCTGGGCGAGGGGACTTTCTGAAGCTCTTAGGTCAGTGATGGTGAACCTTAATTTAGAGACGAGTGCCCAAACTGCAACCCAAAACCCACTTGTTTATCACAAAGTGCCAACACTGCAATTAAACCTGAATACTGAGGTTTTAGTTTAGGAAAAAACAGCTGTTATCCAGTGCTGGCTGCTGGGTGGCTTGGCTCAAGAGCTGACAGAGAGGGTTCTGTATGCCTGCTTCATCACCTCGTGCCAAAGGCTCACCACCACCGTCCCAGGTGAATTTCACTCACAGCTGGTGTTGCCCTATAGTGGTTTTTTTTTTTTTTTTTTTTTTTTTTTAACTTTCATTCGTTCTTTTTTGGTTTTTGTTTTGTTTTGTTACAAAGGTTGAAGTGTTATAATGCCAAATTTCCACATTCAAAATTTTGTCAGGAATAAAATGGTTGGAATTTTTGTTTGTTTTTGTTGCTTTTACCTGAGTCAGAGTCTTGCTGAATCACTAAATCCTGGCTGGCCTAGAATTTGCAATCCCCCTGCCTCAGCCTCCCAGAGTGCTGGGATCCATATGCACCACATTTGGGGTTTTGACGCACGTTCTTTTAAGTTATTTGGACCTTTTTTTCCTTTTTTTTGGTACCGGGAATGGAACTCAGGATCTTGAGCTTGCCAGACTGGCCCTTGTGCGGCTGAGCTATATCCCCAGCCCTGGCTGCACGTTCTTTTAAAAAGGTGTTCTTTTTAAAAAGGCGGCAGGCCAGACTCGCTTTTGCTTCCACAGCTACAAGCTGCACGAACGCAGGGACCACCTGAGTCTTTCAGCACGGCATTCCCCAAACACTGGTGGAATGGATGTGTTTTCACCTGGTGCCACTGTATATAAATATGATTTTAACTGGATCGGCAGTGCACAAGTTTCCTGTTCATTTTTGTTGTTGTTGTTGTTTTCTTGACAATTCCCACTTATGGTTCTCTGAACTGGGGCACCCTCAAAGGGCTACAACACTCAGAAGGGGCTTTCACGTCCACGTACTGCACGCGACGCCCTGGGAACACGCGACGCAGCGGGAGGATGGCCACGCCGGGACAAACGAAGGCACGCTCCGCACGGTCGGTCCTCCGGCCCGGCCCGAGACGCCACCTCCACCTGCTCCAGACACCGCGCAACCACACCCACAGGGGCCGCGCGGCCGCCCCGAGCCGCACCCCCGCACCCCCGCTCCAGACACCGCGCAACCACACCCACAGGGGCCGCGCGGCCGCCCCGAGCCGCACCCCCGCCGGCTGCACCGGGAGGGCGGTTACGCCCCTGGGCGCAAGCCGAGCGATTCAGGCATCAAGACAAAACACCAGTCGCGCCAAGCAGAGACAGCGTTATTTAGGCAGTCGGCTTCCCCCCACCCCAGCCTCCACCCAGTCCCCTGGGCCGGACGCCCAGAGCTCAGCCGGCGGCCGGTTCCAGGAGCCCAGCTCCCTCCACGTGTCCTGTCTTCCCGGCAGCCTCTCTGCCTCCTCCGAAGGAAACCTCCTGACAACTCGCGGTCTGTGGACTACGCCTCCCAGCAAGCATAGCGCCGCCTTCCTCCGCCCCCTCCTGGTTGCGCAGGCGCCCTAAGTTCCGTCAGAAGCCAGGGGGCGGGCGCCTGGGTGCAGTTCCTTGTGGGATATGTAGTTTTTCGCGGCAGTCGTGGGGCCACCTATCAGAGGGACAAGGACTACAAGTCTCGGCTGCCCCTGCGCGGCGGGCCCCATCACGTGGCAGGGGGGCGACCGGGCGTGCGTGCCGCCGTTGATCCGGTGCTGCAGTGAGGAGGTGGTTCTCGCCCGTGTTGTGTGTGTATGTGTGTGTGTGTGTGTGTGAGTGAGGGAGCGAGTGAGCGAGTGAGTGAGTGAGTGTGTGGGGGCACTCGGCTTGTTGTTGTCGGTGACTTTCCCCTCCCCTCCGCCCCTCCCCCTCCCCGCCGCCGCTGCAGTGGCCGCTCCTTGGGCCGTAGGAAATGAGCGATAACGATGACATCGAGGTGGAGAGCGACGTGAGTCCTGGGGCTTCCTTCCCGTGCGGGTTGTCAGGCGGGGACAGCGGCCGGGGCTCTCAGCGGGGCGCGGCGGGAGGGGGCCGGGCGGCCGCCGCCGCCTCCTTCCCCTTCTGCTAGGGCTGGGACAGCCAGCGTCGCGGTCCCGGCTCGCTCCGCTCTCGGCTCCGGGCCGGGGCGGCCTCCTGGGGATGCAGGAGGGGTGCAGACGCACGATCTCTGGGACCCCTGTCTCCCCCGGTGGAGGAGGGTGCTGCGGCCTCCCGCTCCGCCCTGCCCTGCCCTGCCCTGCTCTGGATCCGGGGACGGGGACGAAGTGTGTCCGGGATCCCATTGTCCGGACTGTGGGCAACGGGACGGCGCTGGAGAGTTGCCCCCGTGGTCTGCTGTCCCCTCCTCCGGGACCCGCCGATCCTGGGGGTGAGGGAGCACGAGAGGGGCTGGGAGAGCCCCGCTGCCCGAGCTGGATCCGAGGGGCGGAAAGGTTGCTCCGAACCTCTTCGAGCCGGGGTCGGATCCTGGGAGGAGGGGCGGCGCTCCGGACCCCTACCCGGCTATCGGATCCCGCGGTCGGGGGCGGGGGGGAGGGGTGTCGGGCTGACTCCCCACCCGCGCTTCCTCCGCCGCCGGCATTTTCTTTCTTATTATTCAATGCGATGTATAAAAATAACTTCTATATTTTCTATTTTTTTTTCTCTCTTATTTCAGGAAGAGCAACCGAGGTTTCAATCTGCGGTACGTCTCCTACTCTCCATTTCATTTTCATTTCTGTTCAGTTTTAGTCCTTTTTGAGATCAGAGGAAAAGAGATCATGGTATTACTTTTAATATTGTAGCAGGCAGTTAACAGCTAAGGTGAGGGGGCCTTAGGGGTTGGGGGAGGGGGACTTGCAAATCCCGTGATTCTCAGGTGGTAAATTCTAGTGAGTAGGTGAGAGGGGCTCACCTACAAAGAACCGGATTGTAAGGTAGTTTTCAGATGAGGGATCCAGCTGCCACTATGTAAGTGAGTAATGAAAAGTAAAGCATGCCGAAGTCAATGGTAGTATTATTTCAGGGCAAAGTGGTCAGAAGATTTATTTAGGAACAGTAGGTTTTAAACTATATCTGCATAGTTGTGTGAAGCTGAACCCTCATGCAGTAATCATCTTTAGCCACGTCATGTGACTGCTGTAGACCTATAGAATCCAACACAACACACAACGTAGCATTCTAATGCAAAAATTGGAAATGGAGAGGAGCTACAGGTCAGATATGAAAGCCTCGAGGCTTCTGATCTCAGTGTCTTGAGTTGAAGAGAGAGATAAAACAAACTGTTAAAAGTGGCATTGCAGAGACAGCTTTGCTGAAAGGGGATGGGTGAAACCATGTAGTGTTACCAGTAACTTCTCAGGGTTTGATATTAATATTCTCAGTAGATGGTTTGGTGGATTTAGGTAGATACTGATCTTTCATCTGTAGTCTGAGACAGTAATGTGGGTATAGATTAGAGAGAAAAAGAAGATCATAAATCTAGAGAAACAAGTATATCAGAGTTGGGAACAGCAAGAAGTGTATCGCGTGGGATCATAAATTCATTTGCCTAAGGGAGCCAAGCAATGAACTAGTCAAGGAGAAAGTCTAGGCAGAAGAAGTGAGGACTGGCAGACTGGAGAGACCTGCTGCTTCTGGGAGCAATTTTTTTTTTTTTTTTTCTGGTACCAAGAATCGAACTGAGACCTTGTGCTTGTCAGGCAGGCGCTTATGCCACTGAGCTATATCCCCTACCTGCCGCTTCTAAAAAGGCAGCCTCCGCTCAGCTCGCACAGGTTGGTAGGTGGAAAGGTGGGAGTGAGGGCTCAGTGTTGGCAAATCTTTTTTTTTTTCCTGGACTGGGGATTGAATTTAGGGCTCTGCAGAAACTAGGCAAGCACTATATCCGGGAGCTATACCCCCAGTCTATTTTCTAGTGTTTAAAATGGTGAATGGAGCAAGTGTGTGGTGGCTGGTTAAGAATCTGCAGGATGCCGTGTGGCTATCTCTGGCATAAGAATGTAATGATCACTGAGTAAAGGCGAGCTCAGTTAAACTGTACCTGCTCTTCATTATAGCAGTCAAAGATTGTGCAGGTTGGCCAAGCAGATAGGCATTAAGGAAAATTTTATTTATCGAGAGCTGATATTTCTGTAAGGCCCAAGGATGTAGTTGTTTTCAAGATCTTAAGATTGTCCCTTGATAATATAGTTACTGAGAAATAATTTGTTTTGCTTCTTTTCTTTCTGAAGTAGTGTCACATTCTTAATAGTTATACATATATTTGAAAATTACAGCCCTTTATTTTATTTTATTTTGTTTTGTTTTGTTTGTTTTTCTTCCGGTACCAGGAATGGAACTCATGACCTTGTGCTTGCCAGGCGGGCGCTGTGCCGCTGAGCTAAATCCCCAGCCTCAGCCCTTTATTTTAATTACTGTTATCCTTGATGTTCAGGGCCCAGTTTGTTTTTTATTTTTATATATTTTTGTCCTCCAGGTAGCCAGTTGTAAAATGTTCCTCCCCATTTAGGTTTCATCAGAGTTGGAGGGTAAGGGTTTCTGTCACAAGACTGTCATAAGCATGGACAGTAAAAGTAGATGTGGTATACAGACATTTTTACAATATAGCAGACAGCTATTATGAATGGGTATGCTAAAACTTCCTTTGTAGAACCATTCCTGTTTTTTTGAGACAGGGTCTTCTGTGTTGCCTAGGCTGGCAACTTGTGATCCTCCTGCCTTTGTTTCCCAGAGGGCTAGGATTGCAGGCGTGTACCACCATCAGCCAGAATCATTCTTTCAATTGGAATTATATTGACTTTCCAAGGAGAGGGAAATTTTAGTTCACAGTTCTTTTTTTTGAAACAGATTCTCACTACGTAGGCCAGGTTGGTCTGGAACTTGTGGCAATCCTCCTGCCTGCTTCAGTCTCCCAAGTGCTGGGATAACAGGAGTGTGCCACCACATCTGCCTGGCTCACAGTTCACAGTTCTTAGAATCTCTTTTTTTTTTGGTACTGGGAATCGAACTTAGGACCTTGCGCTTGCCAGGCAGGCACTTGTGCCACCGAGCTATATCCCCGGCCCCAGTTCACAGTCCTTGAAAACTTTCCGCTTTTCAAAATATTCATCCAGTGAGCCAGGCATGGTACTCATACCTGTACTTCAGCACTCAGGGGCCTGAGGCAGGAGGATTGCCACCTACATTGCATAGCAAGACTATCTCAAAAAAAAATATATATATATACCTATATATATATTTATCCACATGGATGTTGGTATAGATTCATTTACTAAATTATTAAAATGTTCCCACTCTCCTGGAATGTAATCTTGTTTGTCTAAATGAGTTTGATTTGACACCTAGGGTTTTTTCCTTTGATCTTGAGAGGTAGACAAGGAAAGGTTGACTCTTGGTTATTTTGTTTTGTTTTTGATGTTAGGGATTCAACTTAGGGCGTCAGGGCTTTAATTTGATACATCTCCTTATTGAGAGTTAATTTTCTGTCACAAGATTGTCATAAGCATGGACAGTAAAAGTAGATGTGGTATACAGACATTTTTACAATATAGCAGACAGCTATTATGAATGGGTATGCTAAAAAGGATTCCAATTTTTTTTGAGATTGAGAATAGAAAGAAAAAATTTTATATATATATATTTCTCTTTCCCCCTCTTCCCAGTGCTGGAATTGAATCCAGGATCTTCACAGTGAGCTCTAGCCCCAGCACCAACCCCCACTTTTTTTGAGGCAGGTCTTACTAAGTCTCTAAATTGCCCAGGCTGGGCTCAAACTTGCCAGGGTGCTAGGATTATAGGCATGTACCCCACACCTGGGATTTTTTGTGTGTGGTGCTGGGGATCAAACCCAGAGCCTTGTGCATGCCAGGCAAGAAAACTCTACCACTGAGCCACATCCCCAGCCCAGATCTTTTAAATTTTGAGGGGAAACCTACATTGTTTTGCTTGGGTAAAAGAACATTCAGGAGAAAAAGATGTAGAGAATAAACAGCCATATATTTAGGACTAGAAAAGAACTTTTTAAAGTTATTTAGGAAATGTTTTGTGGGTTCTAATATAAAACGGCATTCATTCATGTTTTATAATGTCACGACCATATCTAGGCCTTACTACATTAAAAATGCAGTGCACTCAGCAGAAACACTACTGGGAAGTGAGGCTGGCTGGTAACAGAAAGTGAAACTGATTTGCCGAATGTTTCTGTTGCCTCAGTGCAAATGGAAAACAGCTTCTTCAGAGACCAGTGAGCTTTGGTAGAGAAAGAAGCCCCAAACTACGTCACTAAATTCAGTGCATCGCAGAATCTTACTGCAGTTAGCTTATGTTTATTATCATTTGGAGGAAAAAGGTTGAATTTTAGTTTGGATTTTTTTTTTTTTGAACTGGAAATCGAACTCGGCACCTCACGCTCCTTATCAGGGCCCCTGGCCACTGAGCTGTATTCCCAGCCCCCCAAAAGGTTGAATTTTAATGATAAGTTTCTGGGTCAGATATTTGGTGCAAGGGATACCTTTTGCTTATTTTCTGTGGCAAAGAGTAAAAGCGTATGAGAGAGAAATGAGGGATTCGAGGGTTGGTCCAGAAGCCCGTGGCCCTTTCTGCTGTACTGGCCTTCCTGTCAGCTGGATGCGATGCGGTTACAGAATACCTGTTAGGGGTTTGCAGATGGATTTGTGCAGTTCCCTTCTGGAGCTTTCTGGTGTGAAGTATTTTTAACTTTTCAGAGCTCTTTGCTTTTTAAGAAATTGTGTTTTTGGAAGAGATTGAGTTTGTTTGCCTCTGAAACTGGAATTTATTACACTGAGGAAATTATGGAATCTGTTGCACATAGCCAGTGCATGTACTTGGTCTCTGCCTAGAGTGCTGCCAGTGATGGCAGTTCCAGGTTTATTCCCTGAACGTGCTTGTGTGAGTAAAAGGCGTTCTTATATTTAAAAGGCTTTCTCAAGGTGCCGGTAATGCTGCAAGAGCTGATCGATGAAGCAGACTTGCATTTCAGGTTAAATTTCCTGACCAAGGTACCCTCCCTTCAAATGTCAAATGGCTGTGATGTCATATTTAGATAATGTTCCTTATCAAGTTGTTCTTGGCATAGAAAGATAGGAAAAGCCTCAGAAACAAATGTACTCATTAGATGACAGAAATGCATGCCAGGTGATGGGCTTTAAGCAGGAGAGACGTTGGGAAATTGAAATACTACCTTCCTGCTAGGGATCCTAGGGAGTTAGACTTGTCCCAGTCGGCTATTATTTCATGTTGATTTTTAAAGTGAATGGTTTAAGTTGCTTAGAAGTGCAGTTTTATTTATTCTATTTGGTTCTTATCTATCAGAAATAATAAATACATGTTTTCAGATGGAACGTTGAGCCTTTGTATTTTTGGTGCCCTTAATGTTCAATAAGAGTAGCTTAATAATAAGCAACACACTACAGTGTCTTCCTTCTTAAATGCAAACTTTTTCTTTTGTTCCTGTGTGGGCACTGGACCCCAGGGCGGTGTGCATAGGGTCCCGCTATGTAATTCAGGTGGCCTTCAATTCCGCCATCCTCCTGCCTCAGCCTCTGTAGTAGCTAGGATTATAGGCATATGCCACTAGACTTAGCACAACTGTTCATTTTCTTAATGGCAGTCAATATTTAGTTGGCAACACAAGTTCCTGTATGCTGTGGACTTTCTGTATTGGAATTGAGAAGCTCCCCCATGTAAGAGGGATTAGTAGCTTGCAAGCATGTGCATCATTGAATAATGAAACATTTTATTTCCCCATGCTGTTTACCTACAGTTTGCAGAGAGTAAGGCTGGTGACATGTAATACCTTGAATGAAGATGCTTTTTTCTGTGCAGTGAGTTTGAAAAGAAAAAATTTTAAGAGATTTCCTTCATTTCTGACCTCTTTAGCTTCAGTGGCCTACTGCCAGTTTAATAACTTATTGGACAACAAAATACTTGCCTTCAGATACCCACACTTAAAGTACACATACTTATAAGAGTCAGAGATGGACAAATTGTAAGTGAAGATTTTTACTTTGCTGCCTGTATGGAACGTTCGGTAGAAATAAAACAGGCCAAGTTAAAAAAAACTTGGCAGAGATAGATGTCAAAACTGGAAGTCGTTTGGTGCCATAGTTCCTGGTGAGCATCTGTAGGCCACTCTTTGGTATCACTTAGCGTTTCTGGCTTGTTTGTTTTGGAGGGAGGAGTTCTGAGATGGGTCTCGCTATGTAGTCCAGGTTTGCGTTGAACTTATTATGGAGCCCAGGATGGCTTCAAACTCTGGGTAATCCTCCTGCCTCAGCTGCAGCCGTGCGCCACCTCACCCAGCTAGCTCCTTAGAATTTCTGTTACTCTGGGATGCCCTAAAACCTTTTAGAGCTTTCGATGATGTAAACAGCCCTCTGGTAGGCATGCCATGGGGTCACCACCACTGCCCTAAAGGAAGGGGTTTCTGGCAGAAGCTGCAAATTCATTGCACTTGAAGAGCAAGCAGCCTCCAGCCACTGCTCCTAGAGGACTGGTAGGGGAGCTGCTTGGGCCTGCTGAATAGCCCAAGAAGACCTGTTACCTCCTAGAACTGTGTCTAATACATTTCATCGAGTTCATTAGCAGATATGTCCTTCCCGGTACAGGTAAGAGAAAGCTTGCTTATTTGAGTTGAGCTTTATTTGTTCAAGACCCAGTTGTTTGGCTCTAAAAAAAATTTCTGAGTTTGTGGGAGGACCTTAGGTATTTTATATGGTTGTCTCCACCCATTTTTTCTCACCCTGGAGCACTTGGGCTTTTGGAAAAGGGTTGCCATCAAGTGACAGGATAGTGATAAGCCTGGCAGCGGGGCCTCTCAGGTTGTTTGGGAGGGGGCTCAAACTGGCTGGATCTGTGGTTTGGAAATATTATGCAAAGAAAATTCTTACCCTTGTGTAAAAGTTTTTCCAGTTTTTTGTGTGCTTATTCAAGCCACTAGCAGTATCATTTAATTTAGAGTTGCCTAGAGTTAGTCATGTTAGTTCTGCATGTTTTTGACTTGCTGTTACAGATGAAGCTTGAGACCAGAAAAAAAGACATCCTTGCCATTGTTTCAGGGACTTTAAAATGGACTCCAGTGAGGTGTAGCAGCTTGGGTGGACATGGCATCAGGGATTGGTCTAAGATTCCACTCTTCTGCTAGTTAAATTGGGCTTGGAACTACCACAGAAATTCCATCCACTACTTTGAGAACAACAGTCTCCAGTCCAGGCTTTCTACCAGGCGGTGGACTGCCGCCTTTCCTTGTTGAGCCAACTTCTCAAACTTGGCTGACTTCCTAGATGAGAAGCCAAGATTTCTGCTGATGGGCTACAGCCAAGTTCGCTTACAACCCTCTAACCGAAAGACTTGTGCATTTGAGTCCTTTCAGGACTCAGTGAACGGGAGGGGGCTGGTGCATTGTGCGGATGTTTTGGTGTTAGGTTATACTTAGCTCCATGCCTGTAGGGCAGGCCTGCGTGAAACCAAGTCCAACTTGATTCTAGCCATTTGAGATTTGCAGGGCTCTCCCAGATTCAAAAAAAAAAAAAGAAAAAGAATTTTATTTGTATCAGCAGAGGGGAGTTGTGGGTGACTCTGGCGTCGCTGCTTCTGTGCACAAGCCTTAAGCTGGGAGGAGGGCCAGGAATCAGGGTGATTTAGTAGACAGGAGTATCCTGGGCTGCGCGATTAATTTGCATGTAAATAGACCGAGTTGGAAAGTATACAGCAGACACTGACCAAGTGTGAGCCGTCAGCCTTTGAGCCCTCGGGTATGGTCCCAGCCCTGCTTACCTTGTACGGATGATTACATGGAGCAGTGAGTTAGAAAAGGAGTAGCTACTGAAAATATGTTTATTTCTTAAAGCTGTTTCATTCTACTATTAGTCGGCATCTTTAGTTGTTTTTTTTTTTTTTGCTCTACATTGTAATGATACCTTTAACATCTTCATGATGGGGCTGTAATTCTCACTGCGGGTGGTTTAAAACACTGGTGCTACATGAATGACTACCCCACCGGGTGGCTTTTTACTTAATTGTATTGGTAAAAAGATGGATACAAGTGATTAGATGCATTTGTACAACCAGTGGTACAAGCTGCCCCATGGGACAGTCATGCGCATACCACTGGTGGTTCAAATCGGCGGGAATGTGTTATCTTCAGGTTCCGTGCTTGATTGCCCCCCCCATTTCCCTCATGCTGTTCCACACATTGATATAGTTCAGAAAATATGCACTGTGTAGTGAATTCATACTTGAGACAGGACAGCTTTAAAAGTGTCCTAGCTTCTGTTTCCCGGAAAGGGCTGTGCTGTGGAGGACCCTGGCCATGCCGGAATGGCCTGCCCCCTTCGCCAGGCTGACTGCGACGTGTGTGCTTGACGACCGGGAAGTGACTAAAGTGACCACAGCTGCTCCTAGCCTCCTTCCTCTGGAATGACTTGGACTTTTAGGATTAGATACGGGAGTTTCAAATTTTCTCATTCTCTGAGCTCTCGTCTTTTTAGGTTTTTGTCCGTACACTTTGTTGAGTGTGTAAGAATTCATTGGAGGCAGTGTTATTTTGTGCTAAACCAAGTTAGTTGCGCTCACTTGCTTCATTTTTGAAGATTCTTGGTCCTGTGTCCGGGTGGATTGATGAGGCCACCCTGCTTTGTCACACACAGGCTTACCTCTTGAGGCTGGCTTACTGCATGGGTGTATTCCAGAGCGTGCGTGTGGTAAGGCTCCTGCTTTGGGTTTGTGTGGAGTTTAGAGAGGTCCTTTTAATGGGGGCTGCGGAAGCTCCCTGCGGTGCTGCCTGCACTGTGTTTGTTCCCTGGGAGTGCTGCTGAGCCGTCCTGACGTGGCAGTCTTTGCTCTCTTCAGCTGGCTGCTCTTTGTGGTTCTAACAGGAGAAAGACTTTTGCTTTGGATATTTAAAAAACTGGCACATTAGCCTGGTATGCAGCAGTACCTGCAAAGACAGTGTGTGGGTGTCAGAAGGCCCGCCATCTAAGAAGTGCCTCTCTGGCTCAGCATGTGTGAAGGAAAGCCCTTGGCGGCATAATGTCTTGGATCTGCTTTAAGAAACAGGGACTCAGAATGCGGCTGGCATCTCTGTCAGGACTGTCATAGTGACCTTGGATTCACGCAGCTGGGTTTTCTAGAGGTTTCAGTTTCTTTTACACAGTTTCATGAAAGGGTGAAATGAGTGCCTGTTAGCGGGCTTGGAGACAAGTACACCACCGGTGGGTTCTGTATGGAGAGACGTCCTGTACGAGTGACTCGACCCCTTCCCCACCTCCCCATCTCTTAGAGCGGGGCGATCGCATCTTAGGAAGAAGCTCACTGGAGGAGCTCTTCCTGATCACCTCCCAGCCCTGGACTGGCGGCTGCTACATAATTAAGTTGGGGACACGGATGTTGCAGGAGAGTCGCACTTTGTCCCCATGAATAACTCGATTTTACTTATGCATGAGCTGGATGCGTCGAGCTGCTTTGGACGTTCCTGTGGCAAGCCTCGCTCACCCCTTTCTCCCCTTTAGCAGAGCCTAATTCTGGAGCCTCCTAGCTGCCCACCTCGACAGTCGTCCCAGTCCACGCAGAGGGACAGCGCTGACGGCATAGCCTTCCAGGCTGTACCCCGTCGCCTTGTACCAAGCCACAGGAGCGACATTCCTAACGTACTCTTTCTCCCGTTCTTCCAGGCTGACAAACGGGCTCATCATAATGCACTGGAACGAAAACGTAGGGACCACATCAAAGACAGCTTTCACAGTTTGCGGGACTCGGTTCCGTCACTCCAAGGAGAGAAGGTGAGTTTATGGAGGAAGCCGCTTGGCCACCACTGGCTTGGACCTTTTTATGGAGCTTAGAAGGACACTCACCTATCTGGAAAGACAGTCAGAGGTATTCAGAGGAATGACTCCCTTATATTTTGATTCTTTGGAAGATCATTGCACAGCTTCTTTACTTTTGTTTATCCATGGCAAAAATACGTGTAAGACCTAGGTGGGAGTGTTTTGCAAAGTTGGTATATATAGTGTGTTAATTCCGACACTGTTGTAACTACACTGTAGCATCGAGTTAGCTTGGCATCTCACTGAAGAGGGCCAGGGTCAGTGATGCGCTAGACTGCCATGAGAATTGCTTTAGCGTGCAGAGGTCGCACTCACTGTGACTGAAGGCTTCCAGGCATGTTCGCGAGCCCACCTGGGCATCAGTGACTTTCCCGCCCCAGCCCTTCTTCCCAAGGTGTGTAAAGAGCGCTTTAAGCTTTGGAGCAAAATATTTGAGTAAGGAGACACGCTCATTTGAAGTAGAAGGAAAAACGTAGCCGCCCTTCTCCTTCACCTCCACACTGGTAGCCTTCACAGACTAGTATTTTCCCTGGAGGCTGGGCACCAGCTGTGTCTACATTCAGACACTGAGTAAAAGCTTGTGGGTTAGGGTCGTTCCTTGGAATTTGGAGAAAACTCTGTTCATACAGTTGGTTCCATGCTTGACAAAGGGTGTAGCTGGCTACTCTATAATTCTTCAGGGAAATAAGTGGAAAACTGGGAAGAACTAACTTTTTTTTGGAAGGTCAGTGACCCACTGTTTAAGGAAACAGCTATTTTGGCCTGGAGGGTGTTCCTCAGTAGTAGAGTGCCTGCTTAGCTCGTGAAAGCCGCAGGGTTTTTTTTTTTTTTGGTACTGGGAATTGAACTCAGGACCTTGTGCTTATCAGGCAGGCACTTACGTCACTGAGCTATGAGCTATGAGCTATGTCCCCAGCCCAAAGCCTCAGGTTTGATCCCCAGAACCACACACAAAATAATAATCATTTTTAAAAATAAAGAATGAAAAGAAACAGTTATTTTGTTAAGAACAGTGTCTGTTCATAAGTATACTTTGAGGGGCTCCCCTGATTTAATTGTAATGGGGGTCCTGGGCTTGTTTATCCAAAATCAGATTTGGAGCTGTTACGATTTACTTCGTTTATATTTTGGTAGGTCATGTGCTTTGTACTTTATCTAAGGTGTGGCTTCACATGTCGCTAAAGAATGGGGTAGGCGTGAGCTTTATAAAAACAGTCCATATGAATACCTGGTATTGCAAAACCACAACTTGCCACAGATTCTGCCTACTTGGTATGGACTTGATTTAATGACCTTGAACCGAAGTACTTACCTGGGGTAACATTCAGGTACCACAAGAAATATTTATGACTGGGGAGACTCACTCTTTTAGTCAAAGTACACACGTACAAAAGATTGTCTTGTGCTAATCTGAGCTCTGAGAGTCAGTGCTCATGCCTGTACCATGGTGTCAAATGACATCACTTCCATGAGCTACACAGACAGCAGCTTCTGTCTCCTGAACTCACATCTAACCAGGAGTGGTGCCGTGGTGGTGCTTCCCCAGGGGTGAGCTGTGGACCATCCGCATCGAGTGACTACTGAACCATTTTCCTGGAGACAAGCTGGGTGTCTGCATCTATGATGAACAGGCATTCTTAAGTTTGAGAACACTGGAAGAGTGAGCATAGGTCACAACTATACCTCTTCCTTTTCTAGCCTGTTACACTGCCATAACATTCACCCATAAGTACTTACAGTCTCATTACCCTAAATCCTCTTGTTGCCTTGCTTTAAGAAAGCCGAAGGCTGTTACCTTTGCTGGGCATGGTGGCCTGTGCCTGTAATCCTAGCACTCAGGAGGCTGAGGCAAGAGGATCTTTGTGAGTTCAAGACCAGCCTGGGCTACAAAGTGAGCTCAAGGACAGCCTGAACTGCATAGTGAGACCCTTTCTAAAAAGACAAAAAAAAAAAAAAAAAACCAAGCTGAAGGCTTGAAGTTGGTACCCTTACAAACGGAATAGTTTGACTTGTTCTTTTTCACTTGGTCTGTAATGATTCCTGAGGTCTGCCCAACACTGTCCTAGACACTGGGAAAGCAGCAGCTGGAGGGGGAAAGCTGTTACTCTGATAAAGGAATAATAGAAAATGAGGTAATAAATAAAACATATAGCCAGGTGTGGTGGCACACGCCTGCAAGGCTGAGTTTGAATGTTCATAATTTCAAGACTCATCTGAGCAACCTAACAAGATGCTCTCAAAAGATAAAGAAAGTGTTCAGGATGTAGCACAGCTAAAGGCCCTGGGTTCAATCCTCAGTACCACAGAAGGAGAAAAAGAAACAGGAAAAAAAAAATACATACATGTATATATTCATACCCTGTGTGATAAGAGGTATGAAGAAAAATAAAATAAAACTTACTGTTATTTTTTTTTTGTCTTTTTGAGAGAGGGTCTCGCTATGCAGTTCAGGCTGGCCTTGAGCTCACTTTGTAGCCCAGGCTGGTCTTGAACTCGCAATGATCCTCCTGCCTCAGCCTCCCTAGTGCTGGGATTACAGGTGTGCACCACCATGCCTGGCGGGTTCCAGTTTCCGTTCCGGGCACACAGGAACAGTCTCACTGGCAAGCTGGCATTGAGCAAAGTCAGAGGAAGTGAAGGACAGCCAAGTGAATGACCGCCTCAGGTGGGGGAAGGCAAATGGAGTGGCATCCCTGAGGCAGGGACAGGGAGCCTTCCTGGCCAAGGGAGGAGCCCTGAGGCCAGCAGCTGAAGGAATCCCTGAGCGGGTGGGAGCAGGAACTACTGTCAGCTCAGGCTTCTTATGGGGAGGGGAGCAGTCTCGGGGAATTAGAACCGATAGCCAGGCCCCCATCTGAGAACTGACTAACTGCATTGTAATTTCAGAAACTCCCTCTCTCCACGCCCCGTCCTGTGACCTGTTGGCTTTGGTTGAGCCCAGCCTCTTCGTCGTTCTGTCTGCCAGCAGTTGCAGAGGTGCAGGGAGGCTAAAGGAGGCCTTAGCCGCTCAGGCTTGCGTTTTTACTACATGTTGCAATGTTTTAGAAAATGTGGTATTTGACCCAAAGGAAATGGACTCATTCTTGTTCTGCATTGCACTAATTAAGGTGGTGACATTGTGTAAACAGTTATGCAATAATTATTTTACCACGTGAGTTTTAGGGAGCTTAGCTCAGATTCTTGAAGGGAAAGCCTTTGATTGAATCTGTTCACTCCTGTTCCAGGCTCCTTTGATTGGAGCATCTCTGTGTTCTAGGTTGGATTTTTTGTCGTTTTTGTCCTAAGCCTTTTTGGTTTTTATTTTTTATTTATTTTTGGGGAAGTATTAGGAATCGAACTCAGGACCTTGCGCTTGCTAAGCAGGCGCTTGAGCCACTGAGCTATATCCCCAGGCCGCCTTTTTGTTTTTTTAAGAGAGATCGATATTGATTGAATTGGGTCCTAACCAAGGGTAGAGGATCCTAACCAAGAAAAACAAAAGCGAGAAACTTCGAATGTGCGACCCAAACTCTATTTGCCCTTTGTTTCCTGTGTTTCTAACATAAACGTCGGAAAGAACGCTCACTTTTTGCACCTAACATCTGCGCTGCAGTGTAAAGTTAAATCCACACAGCAGCGCTGTGAAGTATACTATGGTATTTCAGATAATCACGCTGCTGCTGTTGCTCCGGCTGATGGAATTGTTAGAGATAAGGAAATAACTCAAGATCTTGTCTCAGTCTCTAGCAAGGTGTCCTAGAACTTGGGGCTGTAGCTGCCAAGTTCCATCTTTCTATGACACTGCGGTGTCAGAATGTTTTAAAGAAACCCTGATCACCAAGGGTGGTGCTATATGCCTGTAATCCTAGCACTTGGGAGGATCGCCACAAGTTCAAGGCCAGCCTGGACTACACAGTGAAACCCTGTCTCAAAAAAAAAAAAGAAGAGAAACTTTGATTACACTTTGTCATTATCTTCAGAGCTTCTCCAAGGTAGAACCATTTCTCTTGGCAGTATGTCATTCTAGGGCCACTATGAAAACACTCCTCAGTGGCCTATGTAGCTAACCCAAAGGGCAGGGTTGAGAATCATTTAAAGTCTGTACGTTCTGAGTTTACATAGCTGCACTGAGCCCTAGGAAATATCATTAGAGTTGGTGGTTCTTTTTGTTTTGTTTTGTTTTTTTGAGACGGTCTCGCTATGGAGTTCAGGCTGACCTTGAGCTCACTTTGTAGCCCAGGCTGGCCTGGAACGCACAAGGATCCTCCTGCTTCGGCCTCCTGAGTGCTGGAATTACAGGAGTGCACCACCGCCTGGCTCTTGGTCCCATTTTTACATAGGGAAATAGTAACTAACAGAAGTCATTCTTTGTTTTCCGGGTCTTTAATGAGGTACTAAGAGTGTTAACAGTGCACTGTGTGTATGTGGGTGGCAAGACTGGTGGTCAGCCTCAGTTTGCTTTTTCCGTTTTTCCAGTTTGCTTTGATGTAGAGGTACAACTCTGTCCACCCCATAAGTTAGGCCTGGTGTCCATGCCAAGATGATTATATTAGCGTTAGCAGTAGTTACTATCACCATTGCGGTTTGCAGCTATGCAGCAGTTTAAAGATGATTTCTCGTCTTTATTTATTTTGTCTTTTTGAGACAGGGTCTCCCTATGCAGTTCAGGCTGGCCTTGAGCTCACTTTGTAGTGCAGGCTGGTCTCAAAATCACAACGATGCTCCTGCCTCAGCCTCCCGAGTGCTGGGATTACAGGCCTGCACCACCGCGCCAGGCTCAGCTATGCAGCAGTTTACAATGACTTCTCATCTTTAAAGTCTCTTCCTAAATGCCTGTTTATCATGCATATTGCTCTCTCGGGCAGTTGTGCTCTGGATCTTTTCTTGCTGGATAGAGAACTATGTGGAAAATAGAATGTAAGTCTCAGGTGAAAGCAGAGAGGAGTAGGGTTTCTTCCTAGTCCGCGTTGGCCAGG